CTAGCCAGGGCAACAGAGCCAGACTCTGTCTCAAAAGAAAACAAAATTTAATCTGAACTGATATGAGGCCATGTATAGTCTTTATCCAACTTATAATGAATATTAACATGCTCTGCTGCTGAAATATTAATACTTGGTTACAGGATATTACCCTAGACCCCACTGGGAGTATTACATATGTACTGCATTACCTTTAAAGAAATACATCCAGTCTCCAAGGATGTCAATTAAGAATTGTGGACTTAGTTCCTAGTCTTGATTGATCATTGATCGATCACCTGTAGACTTAAAAAATGTATTGGTCCCTGATTTTTGAAATCAAAACTGGAAAGATCTATTTTTTATGAGCAGCCCAACACTGTCCTAAGAACAACTCACTGACCTAATTAGCTAATATGAACCAAACTGGTAACACCTGCCCAGATGAGTGAAGTGGTGGCAAATGTGTAGTTGTGAAAATATTTTATTCTCTATCATTGTGGTCCTCAACTCCGGGGTCGTGGTCCGGTACCGGTCCATGGCCTGTTAGGAAACGGGCCACGTGTCACCTCCTGAGCTCCGCACCACCTCCCTCCAACCCATGACACCCCACCCCACACCCTCGGTCTGTGGAAAAATTGTCTTCCATGAAACCAGTCCCTGGTGCCAAAAAGGTTGGCTATCACTGCTCTATCAGGATTAGTTCGGTAATTTACAAACCTCGAAGTAAGGGATTTTTCTCGTCAATCCCTTACACCTTTCATATCATCAGAAATGTGCAGGAGAATACAATTTCTCTAAGAGTATCTAAGGGAAATGTTAAAATGAACACAACCTGAGTCTTCTACCTGACAGGAATACTTAGAGAAAGCAAAAAGGGGCAGCATTCTGGCCTTTCTCTAGTCTTAGGGATTTCCTCTAACTGGTGGAAAACTATTCAAAAACATGCATGAACAAGGATGTTCTGTCCTCGACAGAGGGGCTAAAATTTCTGGACATGATGGCAGAGTTGCTATTACAGATAAACTAGGTGCTTACAGATCTGTGGTTTCAGGGGAAGTAGAAAAACAATGAATTAAGGAAACTGGAGGCTCAGGTTAGAAGGCTGTATGTTCTGAACAAGGGAATGAACGTTTGAAAATTTTATGTGGTGTTACTCCGAGTCACAAAGCTGAGCTGGGATGCAACTGGCTTCCAGAGCAACAATTCTGATTTGAAGCCAAAGGTGAAACTGTGGTTCTAATCAAAGGTAATTTACTTCACCAGGGACCCAGAAAACAGGGAGAGCTAGCTCAGCTTGCATCTGATGAGTTTATACTCACAGAGCACGTTATGATCTAAGTTTCTTTTACATACATAGCATCTGCTTTTACACAATCCTGTAAGACAGTGATCCTCAACACTGCACGTTGTAATCATCACAGGGCAGTGCTGCGCAAACTTTACTGTGCATAGGAATCATTTAGGAATCTTGTTCTGAATCAGTAGGTCTGGAGTGGATCCTGAGTCTACATTTCTAATAAGCTTCCAGGTGATACCTATGCATTACTGGTCCTCAGACCACACCTGGAATAAGAAGAACCTAGAGAAATTTTAAATACAGATGCCTGATCCCACACCTGAAGTATTAATTATCTGGAGATACAGCCTGGGCACTGGTAGTTTTAAAAGCTCCCCTGGTGTTTCTAATGTGCAGCATTATAAGTCATTATTCGTATTTTACAGATGAGATTCTGCTTCTAGCTAAGATGGAAAAAAAAACTTCACTCTATCTTGTCCATTGATTAAAAATAAAAACCTGAAGAGAATACATAAAGCAAATATACAAGGACTCTGAAAAGTAAATAAAAGCAAGCAGATTGGGATGCAAAATCAAGACTTGAACAGCAGTAAACTTCCTAGTTTTTATTTTTCCTCTTATATATTCTCGCTTAGACTTGAGGATAGCCCAAATCCCTAACTAAGCAGTGGGTGGAGACAGAAAAAAGTTCCAAGAGAAACACTTTCCGGCCAGAGAACCAGGAAAGGGAATGAAGGGGGTATGGGGTATACCTGGTAATTTTTCCTCTCTCAGCTCTGCCTCAAGGCAAGCCCCGGTTCTGAAGCTGCACGCCTGGGGCTGGTGGCCATCACCGAAACTCGCTAGAGAAAGTTCTTCTGACAAAAGAACTGGTAAAGAGACAATGATCTGAATATGGTGAGAATTTATGTTTTTTTTTTCTTTAGCTTTTCTCTCACCACTCTGTCCAGAAAATGGATCTCTTTGCATAAGTGTTTTACAAAAGCAGAGAGGTTAAGAGTCTCTAGCCAGAGAACCACGAAAAAGGAGCTCCTGGGAGGAGCTTGAGTACAAAGGAAATCATGGGAAGGATAAAGCTGGAGAAAGGTCCTCTAAATCTGTGTATGTGATCTAGAGTTCACCACGGAGCTGTACGTGTCTTGAACTGACCCAAGGCGGCATAGCAAAGGCTTGCGAACTGCTTGATGGCATGGACTACCACCCAGATCCCAAGGCGGTACACCTGGGACTCGGATAGTGCTATAAAGGTTTTAAAAACTAAATTTGAATTGGATCCACAGCCTACAGAGGGCAGTATGAACCTAACTGGGTTGACTGCCTGCTGAAACAAATAAAACCAAAATCAAATCAAAGCAAAGGCATTCTCCAGAGGATTTTAATAGCAGCACCCAGTCTCATAACATTCAAAATGTCCAAAACATAATAGAAAATTATTTGACATATTTTACAGATAGAAAAATATGGACGCCAAGATGTCTAAGGTCACATAACTTACAAAGAGCAAAGTAAAGACTAAAACTCAGGTTTTCTGATTACACGCCCAGGGCTTTTTCTACAGCCAAGTGACCTTGCTAGATTACAGTAATCCCAAAGTTAAGGGCTTAACACACTGAGCCAAATGGATTCTTTTAGAACGTAATCTGACCAAATAACAAAAGTGTGCTTTTCCATAGTTCTTATCTGGCTGTAGTTAAAATACTGAAGACTTGTGTGTGCTGTACTATAGGACATAGCAAATCAGAGGTACTGAGAGGTAAAAGACAATCTCAAGGTGATTAGTCTTCAGAAGATCCTATTCTGCAGGTAGTTAGTACTGCCCACTCCACTAGCAACAAATATTCCAGCTTGCACTGATTTTTTAAGATTGTCAGAAGTGAACTCCTCTTTGAAATCTTTCCTAAACTGCTCATTCTCCATTCTCAGCAATACCATTCCACAGTAAGAGTCTTTGTAACACTTTTTTGCATTTCCTTATCTATTGTTCACCCACTATTAACATTTTATTCATCAATTCTTCATCTCCTGGGTCTAGCACAGTATATAACATATAATAGGTATTCGATATGATAAACAGCCCCTATTTATTAAGCTTTGACAAGACACCAAACACTGTGTTGGTATTCTGCAAACGTTATTTCAATTAATCATTATACACCTATTAACTCACTTTTCAGATGAGACAAATATGTAACTGAGGTAAAGTAACCTGACTAGTGTTACACATTTAGTAAGCCTCAGGTGAGTTAATTGATGGAGCCTGACCTTCTCGTAGAAACCAACACCATCTAGGCAGTCAGAGTCTCACTTTAGTAAGCCTTGTGGATTTCCATTATGCCTGTATTCTGTCCATCATAGATAATCAAAGATAAGTAGCTGCGCATACATCAGCTGAAATGCTACAGTAGAATGTACCAAAATTATGTTTTCTTTACTCCCCTAGGCATCAAAGGGAAAAATAGTGTTTCTAGGCAACCCATTCATAACGAAAAATACGTACACAGTGCAAGAGATACAAAATCAAAACTCAGGAATCCTGAAAGAAGCTAAAATTTTGTTTTATGTAGGCAAATGGATTTCCCAGTGTTTTCGATTTTGATGGTGGTGGCGGTAGGGTATTGTAGTAAAAAATAAAAGCATGGTATTAATAGCACAAATTGAATCCCTTGCTAGCTGGGTAACCCCTGACAAGTAACCTTTTGGAACCTCTTCCCCCACATGTAAATTAGAAATAACATCACTTACTTTTTCTTTTTAAAAGACAGAATTTCACTAAATTGCCCAGGCTGGCTTCGAACTCGTAGGCTCAAACAATTTTCTTGCCTCAGCCTCCTGAGTAGGTGGGACTACAGGCACATGCCACTGTGCCCAGCATCAGAGGATTGCCGTGAACCTCAAATAATGCATGCAAACTACACAGCACAATGTCTGGCACTTGGTGGGCTATTATAAAAAAAAGTCAAGCAAATACTAAAACCACTTTGTGTTTCAAGGTAATACCTAGTGAATGTTCTTTCCATCTCAGACATTTTATAGCCACTAGAATTTCCTCTGAATTCTACTTTGGTTCATCTTTCCTAGCCTTTTCCCTATTATGGCAGCCCACTTTACACTATGCATGTAATCTGTACCTGTACTAGTACATCACTACTTCTGCTAGTATAAAGGCCTCTACTAGGACCTGCAGCACCCCCACCAGTCTGAAATAAGCCCACTGAACAAAGATGGTAACTCAGTTTTAATACATGTTTCTAAAAAACAGTGACTACTGGTTTCAGCAATGGAAGACTCCTTTAGAGACCAACATCTACCATCTAAGAGTTTTTCCTGGCAGATCATTCTAACAAGTGCTTTACTGCAAGTAAGAATTCTCAGGTGTCAACAGTTTATCTAGTTACCTAACAGAAACTGTTGATGACCACTTCCCATGGTGTCTTGATAAATTAACTAAAACTTCAATTATCTTTGCTAAGTATTATATTTAAAAACAATATTTACCTTCTATCTCCACCAAAGGTTCCTGAGTAAACTCCTGAAAGAATTTGTAGAAGAACTTACTGCAAGCAGCCAAAACAGCCTTGTGGGCCTTAAAATGGTGTCCTAGGTTACAAAAAAAAAAAAAGAAAAAACATCATACATACACACAAAAATCAAATGTAAGACTATAAAACAGATCTTTCTTGATAATATAATTACATAACTATAAATTAATGAACTAAAGTCAAAATAGTTTTGGCAAATTTTAATCTCAATTAGAACATGACACCAAATCTTTACTTAAAACACCTTAAGTCAGTTTTATAAAGCCAGGTTACAACAGTAGGTAAAAGGAGCCTCTTTTACCACTTTCCGTTACCTTCAATTAAGGAGTGAGAGGCATATCCTACTCAGTTGAAACTGCTAAATAAAGACAACCTAAAAGGTCATACATCATATGGAAAGAGAAGAAAAAGCTACAGAATAAGCATAAAGCTAGATGTGTCTGCTATGGAAAACATTTTAATATGCCTAAAATTTGGAAGCTCAATCTATGGTAAGCCTATAATTTAAAAAAGCTTGTCCTGAGAAGCCTATTTTCACTAATTAGAAAACATACCCAGGCTGAGTTTGCTTCCATTATAATGGCATCTGGTAAGACAGGTAAAGTCCCCATTTTATTTTGGGGATCCTCAAAGGGGTTATGAGTGCTGCAAAAGAATCTCTCACATTTTCCCTCCTAAACCATTTGGGAACTAGCAAGGAATCAACACCTCCCAAATGACTCCTGTGAGGGACTCCTCAAAGCAGCTTACCAACAGAAGGCTATTAACCAAACATTTTGAAACATCCTAACATCCTCCCTAGCCCCAACACCATCATCTTGCACTCAAGTGTGCAATGAGAAAACTTTAACAGGTTGCAAGAAGTTAAAATGCAACGAACACCAAACTACGCTGAAAGCGTCACTGGCCAACCAGCCTTCTGCAGCGTGGTCTCTGTGAGCGGACACTGACAAGTGCCCTCCGGTCCCAGTGCAAAGGCTCTGCAGACTTTTGGTAGGGAGACCACAGAGGATGGGTCAAAAAACAAAAAGGCGGGTGGCGGAAGGGGAGAGAACTGAAGCCACAAATTCGCTCCTCTGTCCACTGCCCTACCCACCGTCGACAATCAGGGTGATGTCAGTAAACCGGTCCTGCTCTCGCTGCTCATTCAATCGGTCTAGGATCATTTTATGATGCTCAGGGAACTCCTGAAGGCATTCCATCGTCTCTTCGGCCTCCATGGCCGTCGGGTTGCTCTACAAAAGAGGAGCATGATAATGTACACCCATGAGCTCGGGCCGAGGAACAAAACCTCTAAAGCACAAAACAACAAAAAACCAAAACCCCAGCAACGTGAAAAGAAGGGGGGAGGGTGAGGCAAGAGGAGAGGAAGGCGAGGGAAGAAAGAAAGGCGAGCCGAGTGGCCGCCGCGCGTTGGGGGCCGGAGCCGCGGCCGCGGGACTCCGAGCCTGACCTAATTGGAGTCGGGAGACGCGAGCTGGAGCGGGGTGGGCACAGCGCCGGAGGCTCAGGGCGCCGGGGCGCGCGAGTCCGGCAAGGGAGGGGACCCGATAGCCGCGGCGGCTCTCTAACGGCCCGCCAAGCCCTTCCGCCCGGCCCGGGCTCCCGCCGCCCCCGGACCCGGTCCGGCCCGCGGCCCACAACGACTCCCGGATCGCCTCGCCCTCCCCCGCCCTCCCTCTTCTCCCCCTCCCCGACCAGGCCGGCACTCACTCTGAGAAGGAGGAGCAGCCCGGGCCTGCGCGTCACTTACGTCGACGTACTGCGTCACCACGTCGGGCTCTGGCTGACGCGGACGCCTTCCGAGCGCCGACCTGGAGAAGATGGCCCACGCCCCCACCCGCCCAACTCAGTGGATGGGCGGAGCCGACCGAGGCGATTTGGCATTCGTTAAGCGCAAGGCTGCGCGCTCTGAGGGAAAATCGGGATGTGGTGGGGTTGGGGCTCTACAGAGCCCGGCTTTTCCAGGAACTGGGAACCTAAATCGTGGCCTTTCCACCTGCCACCTGCGCTTGACTTCAGGTGCGGGCGCTTCCCACTCCGACTCTGAATAAACTCGCTAACCGTGCTGGTGCTCTGCGGCGGCTCCAGCCACGCCCCACCCCGCCCACTTTGCTTCCTGGACCTGGATCAGCCCTGTTTCCTCTCCGTCCCTCCAGTCTTCTCCTTCCCTGGGCACAGTTCGCTCCATGCCTTTCTCTATCCCTAAGCCGCTGCTCGCCCTCCATTTTCTCCGCGACAGCAGGGCGCTCCCTCCGCTCGGGTCCACCTGGCGCACGAGCGTTGGCTCGGACACCCCTGCGGGCGCGAGCACGTTCGAGCTGCCAGGGATCTTCCTCCCCAAAGCCCGCCTTCATCGCAGGCGGCCCGCAGCACGTGTTTGCTGTGCTCAGGACCTACGTCTGCTCAGAATTATTTACATAGGATACCCTTACTACTGCCCCCCCTTCTTTATAGAGGCCAGTGACCCATACTCGGCTGCACGTGACTGGTTCATTCCTTCATTCATCCAGAGAAAGGCTTTTTGAGGATAATTCAGTAGTCAAGATTTACTTATTCTTTTCTCTCAAAGAGCTTGAGAGTGGGAATTTCGAAAAGCTATATGCAAGGGTGAATGTAATCATTTCAATAGACATGTGTTGAGAGTCAACGCTGTGGTAGGCACACTGTTCAGGGGACTGGGGAATCTATAGGTGAACAAAGTACTCGTGGTTTCTGCCTTCCGAATCTTAGCCTGGTAGAGTAGATAGGTATTTTGAACAGTAATTGCCTAGATGCTGACTGCTGAATGTTATGACATGTGAAGAGCAAAGCAATCTGGGGGTCAAGGAAAGCCAGTGACCTATAAGAAGGAATATGAAGTCACAGTGTTCTTAACTAAGGGGAGGCACATGCAGAGGTGCCAAGGTTATAGCATTCTAGGAACTGAAAGAATGTTGCTGGGATAGACACACAGGGCTTGTGAACAGTGTTAAAGATGTTAGCTTTTCTTGTAATTGCAAGGGGAAGAAGCCTTGAAGGTCCAGCAGGGTGGCGATATCATAAGATAGTGGTCCCAAACTTTTTGGCACCACGGACCAGTTTCATGGAAGACAATTTTTCCAGTGGGGAGAGGGATGGTTTGGGATGATTCAAGTGCATTACGTTTATTACATTTGCAGCTGCTCCCCAGCACTACCATTGGCACCTCAGTCCCACCTCAGATCATCAGGCATTAAATTATCATAAGGAGTGAGCAATCTAGATCCTTTGCATGCACAGTTTACAGTAGGGTTCAGGCTCCTGTGAGAATCCAAGGCTGTTGCCCATCTATCAGGAGGCAGAGCTCAGGCGGTGATGCCAGAGATGGGGAGCAGCTGTAAATACACATGAAGCTTTGCTTCTCACCTGCCACTCACCTCCTGCTGTGCAGCCTGATTCGTAACAGGCCACAGCCTGGTACTGGTCCACAGACTAGGGGCTGGGGACTGTAGTGGTAACATTTACTTTTTAAAGAGATAATTCTAGGCCAGGTGCTGCGGCTCAGGCCTATAATCCCCAGCACTTTGGGAGTCCAGGTGGGAGGATCACTTGAGCCCCAGGGTTCCAGGTTACAGTGAGCTATGATCGCACCACTGCATTCCAGTCTTATTGACAGAGCAAGACTCTGTCTCTATAAATAAATAGATAGATAGAATCTGCAGGGGTAATAGACTTGCAGCTTGTAGATTGGTAAAATACTGTCATCATTATCATCATTATTCACAATATTTTTTAAGATGAAATTGTACATAAAAATAGGCTTTGGGCCAGCACGGTGGCTCACGCCTGTAATCCTAGCTCTCTGGGAGGCCGAGGCGGGCGGATTGTTTGAGCTCAGGAGTTCGAAACCAGCCTGAGCAAGAGCGAGACCCCGTCTCTACTAAAAATAGAAAGAAATTAATCGGACAACTAAAAATATATAGAAAAAATTAGCCAGGCATGGTGGCGCATGCCTGTAGTCCCAGCTACTCGGGAGGCTGAGGCAGAAGGATTGCTTGAGCCCAGGAGTTTGAGGTTGCTGTGAGCTGGGATGACGCCACGGCACTCTAGCCAGGGCAACACAGTGAGACTCTGTCTCAAAAAAAAAAAAAAAAAATAGGCTTTTTGGAAATTCTGTAGGGCCTTAATCCTGTATAACAATCGGATTGAACCAAATGAAGAACACCTCTCTATATGGGATTTGGGCTATCCAATTCACCATAGTCCCTACCACATTCTAATGTCTTTTATTTGTTTATTTATTTTTTTGGGACAGAGTCCCGCTCTGTTGCCCAGGCTAGAGTGCCGTGGCATCAGCCTGGCTCACAGCAACCTCAAACTCCTTGGCTCAAGCAATCCTTCTTTCTGCCTCAGCCCCCTGAGTAGCTGGGACTGCAGGCATGCGCCACCATGCCCGGCTAATTTTTTACATATATATTTTTAGTTGTCCAGCTAATTTCTTTCTATTTTTTAGTATAAATGGGTTCTCACTCTTGCTCAGGCTGGTCTCGAACTCCTAACCTCAAGCGATCCGCCCGCTTCGGCCTCCCAGAGTGCTAGGATTACAGGCGTGAGCCACTGTGCCTGGCCTCTAATGTCTTAAACTAAATTCACATCATTTATTTTTACTTGCTTAGTCCCTAAGGCTTTGAATTTGGAACTCTTGGTCTATAGGATTAGGATGGAGGAGGATGTAGGACTTTATCCCTTTATCAATGTTTATGGATTGAGTAAAAAAAGAAGAACCTAAAAGGACCAAGTATAGCAGCTGGAGAAGGATGGAAAACCAGAAGAGTGTGACATCAAGAAGGCCATGAGAAGAGAGTGTTTCAAAAGAGATGGTGTGGTCAGCAGTGCCAGATGCTGTCACACAATCAAGCTAAATAAAGACCGGGGCCGGGTGCGGTGGCTCACACCTGTAATCCTAGCACTCTGGGAGGCCGAGGCGGGAGGATCGCCTGAGCTCAGGAGTTTGAGACCAGCCTGAGCAAGAGCAAGACCCCGACTCTACTAAAAATAGAAAGAAATTAGCTGGACAACTAAAAATATATAGAAAAATTATCCGGGCATGGTGGCACATGCCTGTAGTCCCAGCTACTCAGGAGGCTGAGGCAGTAGGACTGCTTGAGCCCAGGAGTTTGAGGTTGCTGTGAGCTAGGATGATGCCATGGCACTCTAGCCCAGGCAACAGAGTGAGACTCTGTCTCAAAAAAAAGATTGGGAATGGTCTGCTATATTTAGCATCATGGTAGCTTCTTTGGCAGAACACCTTAGCAAGAACAGATTTAGTGGAGTTCTGAAGAGTAGAGAGGGGAGGTGAGAAGTCTATATTCAAGTAGGTTGAGGAATAGTTAGGAAAAGAAATTGAAATGGCAATTGTAGAATAAGGGAGGAGGTGGAGAGTTAATAAAATAAAAAAAATAAAAATAAGGGAGAAGAGAAAGGAGTACCTGTAGAGGGTGATGGGTCGAGCCCATTTTAAGTGTGTGCCTGTGTGTGTTTTGTTTTGTTTTGTTGTTGTTTTTTTTTTTGGATGGGAGAGAATTAGGCAATTTAAATGCTGATAGGGAAGGATCCCGCAGAGGAGATGATAAGAATACAAGAGGAAAAGGGGCTAATTGTACAAGAGAGGGATTAATGGATCAGATGTTCTTAGGAATGTAGTTTTGCTTTCAAGAAGTTAAGGAAATTCTTATCAAACTGGAGACCTCTATTTTCTCCATGAAATAGGTGACTAGGTCATGTATTAAAAATCAAGATTAGGACCGGAAGGGTTTGTGTGTATTGGGGATGGAGAAGTTTGAGACTGAAAGATGTGTTAGTTATCAAAGGCTGTGTAACAAATTACCTGAAAATGTAGCAGCTTAAAACAATATTATTATTTCACAGTTTCTGTGGATTAGAAGTCTGAGTGTCACATAGCTGGGTTTTCAGGGTCTTTCACAAGGCTGCAATGGGGGTGTCCCCTAGGGCAGCCAGCATCTCAAGGCTTCCCTGGGGAAGGATCTGCTTCTAGTGTCGAAGCCACTAACGTGGTTCTTGACAGAATTCAGTTCCTCCTGGGCTCTTAAACTGAAGACTTCAGTTCTTTACAAGGCCTTCCTCCATGTTGGCCTCTCCATAGGGTATGGCAGCTAGATTCCATTAGAGATAGCAAGAGAGAGAGCAAGAAAGAGTAGGCAACACAGAAGCCAAAGTCTTTGTGTCTTAACCTCAGAAGTGACATTCTATCACTTTTGTTATATTCTATACTTTAGAAGCAAGCCACCAGGTCCAGCCCATGCTCAAGGGA